GTAAATGTATTGTTTTATATAAATTGTTTTACTCTCAGGTTTACCAAGAGTTAAGACAAGCGGAGATCAAAGGCCTTAATGTTTATAAAAAAGATAATATTCCCGAAAAGTTTCACTTTAAAAACAACAAAAACGTTTTACCCATTTTGTTGACCACCGATAAGGGATATCTTATACAAGCGGTCAGTATTAGCGAATTGCAATGTCTTAATAAATATATTGATAACATTTCCTTACGATTAGCCGCGCATTAAATCCAAAGTATATCCGGATTACGAACGCAGCGAAGACAATGAGCCCAAAGGCGGTGGCCATGGCTTTGACGCCGACTATGTCGACGAAATGCGGGCCATTATGTATGGATTTGGGCCGTCCTTCCGACGGAATTACGTGTCGGAACCGTTGGAAATGGTCGACCACTACAACCTGTTCTGCCGTTTGTTATCAATTCCCAGTCATCCCAATAATGGCAGTGAAGACAGAGTCGAAAAATTGCTCAAAGAATACGAAGTGAATGATAATAGCGATGAAAGTGATTACGACGACAACGAAGACAACGATAATAATGAGGACAACGATGACGACAGTGTTTCGCCCTTACAATTACATTCATTTCTCATTTATGGTGTCTTCGTTACAATCATTATATCACTGTTTTAGGCATATCTTTCATCTATAGTTCTTCATTCAATGGTAGGTATGAATCAATTTGAAAATCACTGAAAGTTATATCTGATAATAACCAAAAACAATCAAAACCAAAATTATTGAAACTGTGTTTTTTGTACATTCAATCACTTGACTAATCATTTTATACATTAATCGTTTGATTTAATTTGATTTAAAAGACATTTTATTATAATCTCAATTCAACCAAATTGTTGCTGCAATCGTCAAACCAGAGATCAATTGAGTGCTTAAATGCAGGCAAACACTCGTTTAGTTACACATCAATAGATTTGTCACCAGATTGTGGTTCAGATCTGGCGTTTAGCTATCGGGTCATTAGCAGACCAACAATTGGTTAACAAATATAAGCATTTGTTTTGAAAAAACAACAAACAAAAAATTGCCGCAAATTGTATGCATTGAACGCTTGAATATTTTGTATTCAAAAAAATAAGTTAATGTCATTAGCAGACCAACAATTGGTTAACAAATATAAGCATTTGTTTTGAAAAAACAACAAACAAAAAATTGCCGCAAATTGTATGCATTGAACGCTTGAATATTTTGTATTCAAAAAAATAAGTTAAATATAATATATATTTTATATATTAAAAAAGAAGGAAAACTCAATTTCCAGTGTAAATGTTCGCTACGAAAGGGTTGGCTCTAATTTGATGGTGAAATTAGGTTTCAATTCTTTATGCAAATAATTGGTTTCGTCGATAGAGAACGAGTGATGGCTATCGATGTCATTGTCTTCATCGTCGGTTAAGTCGACGCTCTCCTGACCGTCGAAGTCGGCCAGAATCGAGAGGTCGGGTCTGGTCTCGAGCTCTTCGACACTTTGATTGCTGTGATTGGAGTAAATACTGGTATCGAAGTTAAACGAGTTGTTCAACGCATTGTTGGCCATCAGGAGTGGAGGACCGGCGCCACCGCCCGGTTGGTTGAGTGGCAGGCGTTTACTTTTGGCCTCTTTTCGCTTATTGTTGAACCAATTGCTGACCACAGAAAGGGTCACTTTGTCGCGCTCTTTCAGCACCCGTTTAGTCATTCGCTCGACACAGGCGTTGCACTCGTCGGCGATCTGCTCTTTGGTCGCTGAGTCCGGGTATGCGTTGTCTTTGAAATACTTGTCCAAAACCATGAGATGCTCTCTTCTGAATATGAATCGATCCCTTCTGATGGGCAACAGGTCTCCCATTTCTGTCAATTGAGTCCTTCGCTCGCCAATAGTTTGCGGACAAAACTGTGTCAGTATTTCGGGTCTATTGCGACACGAGATGTACCACAAGTAGATCAAGTTCTTGGACTTCTCGGACATGTCCTGACCCTCGCCGCGGAAGAAGCGGCTGACATATCCCTGAGATATTTTGGTCATCTCTGCGATCATAATCTGTCGAATGTTGTACTTATTGACAAAAGTCTTGATCTCATTCAACATCACTGTCTCGCCCTTCCTCTTGAATTCGTTCAATTCGTGCGACTCTTCGGCCAAACACATCGACATCGACGGCCTCAGCGCTACGGACATCGACTGCGATGACTGACTGTCCGACGTTTGCATCACTGGTATGACAGACAGCGACTCTTTCGTCGACTCGTCGTCTGTCAGATCCATATGCGATGCGGACAATGGATTCGTTGTCTTCTCCGCTAATGAGTAGCCAATGGATTGAAATGACTGCGAGTTTTGTTTCGCATTCAATGGTAATGAAAGTGA